AGAGCAGATCCAAGTTTATCCCTACGGTAGTGTCATCTTCAATCACTTGCATTCTGATATGCTTCCTAGAGTGGGAGACGATAAGATGGAATTAGAGGGCGTACTAGCAAACTACATGTTAGAATATGTCACACATGTACATATCTTGTACTGTGGTGGGGGAAAACATTGAGAATCACTGACTTAAATCACAAAATCTTTGTTTTCCTGCTGATGAGACAGTAAGGACTACTTAGTTCAAATCTTATCTCTCTACTCAATACAGAGTTTGTCACAACACCGAAAAACTACAGGATGGTCTGTGTATGTAATTATAACTGCATCCTTTAGGAATCAAAATCCCATACTTTGAACACACATTTTGAACCAGGGATACTTGTAAAATATTGCTCCCTAAAAAATAATCCTATGGGAGATTGGAGGAGACATTTCTGTAAGAGACAGAAAACACTCAATTAAGAGTTTTGTGTAGTATTACATTTGAAAACAAAGTTTTAAACAGATAAAGTAAATGTAGTTTAAAGTGGTGGGGAGCATTAGTTAAGAGATTTAAGAAGGTAACATTTAGTTTTTCTGTACCACTTTTAGGCAAATATTTGTGGTTGAAAGGAATGTAGGGAAACCATCCAACAACAGATGATAATCTAATGTGAAAGAAAAATAATTCAGGAATTCAGATGAACTGGACATATTTTGAGGACCTTAAAATCATTGAAGGTCAATTTCTGATTATCACTACTGAGATACAATAAGCCAAGAACTATTAAAAAAAAAAAAACTCAGCTAATCTGAGATACTTCTATTATTTGGTTGGTACAAATGTAAATGTCTTTCAATTTCAGTCAATTCAATGCACATTAATTTCCAAAGTCTAAAATTTATGGACTTTTAGGATGGTAGAATAAACACAGTAATACTAGAAAAGATAAAATAAAAACCACCATGAAAGGAACTGAATGTAAACGCTGAGTGCTCCCTAAATTTAGGCATTTTACCTCGATTGTCTCATTTCTTATTCATAACAACTTTATGAGGCAATTTTATTAATATCATCCCCACTTTACAGATGAAGAAACTATGATTTACAAGGACTTATTGTATAGCACATGGAACTCTGTTCAACTGTTATGCAGCAGCCTGGATAGAAGGGGAGTTTGGGGGAGAATGGATACATGTATATACATGGCTGAGTTCCTTCATGTTCACTTGAAACTATTACAACATTGTTGATCTGCTATATCCCCACACAGAATTAATAAGTTTTAAAAAATTTTTAAAAAAGGAACTATGGTTTAAAGAGATTTTTTAAAACTTACTCAAGATCCCATAAAAGAAAATCCTAATTTCTGACTGAAATGCAATTATCTGGCTCCAAAATAAAAAGTTTTCTTTTCGCTATACCCTGCAATCTCACAAGAAACATATACATTGAAATTTACAGTCTTTTAGTCAAAACCTTCTGGAGAAGGAGGCAATATTAAGCTTATAGTGAGCAGTGGTAACTTACAAGACTAAAAATTAGTCATAGTTTGATAAGTACAAATGAATATTTAGGAAATAATCCCAAGTTATGCAAGACATTAAATTTTTAAAAGCTGAACATGAAGCATCTCTCCAAAATAGAAAAATCCAGAAATTTCTGTAAGGAAGTAAGTAAATGTCATTTTACTTAGACATTCTGAATTCCAAAGAAAAAACTTGAAAGGCTTCATATTTTGTCAGTTATACAGCAGTTTCATATGGTTAACTAGAACTATATTTATACTTAAGAAAAAAGAAAAAGTGGGTAATTGCTTGGGTCTGATTCTTTCGTTCTGACTCTAATCTGTTCTCTAGTGACTCTTTTCCATTTTTCCTCCAGATCTTGGAGCCCTCTTCTAACTTAGGCTAACTGAGTCTCAAGCTCAGGAACTCCTCCAGTGCAGATGTAAGTGCCGACACACTGCAGTGAAGACATAAAAGTGCAAAGACTGGTAGAGTGTTACAGAAGAAACAAGAGTTTCAGTTATTTTCCAAAACATTAACTATCATGGAATTACTTTTCTTCTGTAGTTTTCTGAATTGATTTTAAAAGCATTTAACTTTCGTAATAAAAAAATAGCTGAAGGAGATGGAGGGGAAAACTTGGAGCTTTGATTAAAAAACATCTCAATACTTTATTCTTTCCAAAGTTCCAGAACTATGACCTGCTTGCTCCCTTTTATATCCCAATGGCATGGCATGAAAAATTAACCACACATAAGCATGCCCAAGTCAAATGAGATATGGAACAATAATAATGAGGCAATCCAAAGAGCTATACATTCTGAGGCACAGCTCAATTTCAATCTTTAAGAATGAAATATTGTAAATATGAAAAACAGATTTGGGGCACAATAAAATTGAAATATTTTAGCCATGTGATGTGAACATCCGAGTCACTGCAAAAGACCCTGATGCTGGGAAAGACTGGAGGCAAAAGGAGAAGAAGGTGGCAGAGGATGAGATGGCTGGTTAGCATCACCAATTCAATGATCACGAACTTCGGCAAGCTCCAGGAGACAGTCAGGGACAGGAAAGCCTGGTGTGCTGCAGTCCATGGGGTCACAAAGAGGGGTCAGGCGCGACTTAGCAATTTAACAACAAAAAAAAACTAAAAAGCAGGATTCACATACTTAAAGAAGGACAGGAATTTCCTAAGTATAGGAAAATTATAAATATACATATATGTGAATTTATACCCATTTCTTATTATCATAAATTGAAGTTTTGTATTAAAGTATTCCTTTAGCAACACCATGAAATAACACACAAGACAGCTTTGAGTCCTACCAAGATTAACTTCAATCTCTCTAAATTACTTCCTTTTTCATGGAAAAGTTATATTAAAAAAGTTCATGTTTGTAAGCTTTCTTTTTCCACTACAAAAACATTTTTTTTTTTACAAAAACATTCTTATTCCAAAACAACATACATAAGGTTGATTCATTTTTTAAGTATGTTGCCAAAACAGTGCATAATTTATAGTCCCTTCGACTCATCTGCAAAACATGCGCATTTAAAAATCAAATACAAAAGTATAATCTATTAACACAAGTCCAATTTCAAAACTTTTATTTGTATAACAAGTTCATTAGATTTCCTTTTTCTCCTGACTACCAAAACACAATTAACTTAAGGTCTTGATTTACAAAGATGATGACTGCTTTATAATAGTCTCACGGAATTCAATTACTATGATTTTGGTAAACACTATTTCCATCTACAAACAGAAATAAGCAGTTTACAATATTTTGGTATAATACACATTTATTCTGGTTTTCAAACTTGATCATTTCAGTTCTTCTGTTCCTTAGTATATACCATGTAACAGCTGTTCCTATTATTGTTGTGTAGGTGGTGAGTATTCACCGGCAACTGAACTTGCCTGCATTGTTTGAAATTTCTGAATGTGAAATACTGGAGGGGGAAAAAGGCAAATGTGAAATGTTCAAAGACCAGAGTTATCGCTACATTAATAGCTGAAGATGAAATGAAAAGGACAGGTCTACCAAAACCCTGACATTTCTTCAACTACTAACATCAAACTTTGAAATAGTGCAGAAGTTGCATTAACCCGACCCTAAATAATTTCACATGGTATATACTTAATGAAGAGAAACAGATCTTCTGCAAAGGTCCTTCATGGAAGAAACTGGAAAAAGGTTTCCAAGTATGCCTATGTACTCCCTTTTAAAACACTTCTCTTGGCTCAAGAGAACGAGCAGAAAAGACTTCCCAGATTACAACACAGAGTCTTGCTTTCCATTGACTGACAAAAAGCCTAGCTCTTCACATATATGTTTTCCTAAAGCCCATATAGGTAGATACACCAGGATTACAACACCGCTCAGTGCAAGAATTACACTTTGGAAAAATTAAAGTCCCCATTCCGTAAGTTGAAACATACTTTCTTGTCTTTAATCATTGAAGTAGTTTCGGTCTATTCTTAGTCATTTTTCTATTAGACTTTTACATCGCTGACTCCATTTGACAATTTCTCAATCTGGAGAAAGAGAAAAAAAATAGCACTACACCTTTAGAGTAATGTATGTCAAACTGATAGGGGGACTGGTACGAATATATATACAGTGTCTTCCGAATTTAAAAGATTAAGGCTTTTTAACCCTAAGGCAAACGAAAATGAAAGTGCCAGCCTTATGAAATTAACACATGGTGGGTTACACGGCACTGCCTATCAAAATCATAAATGCACAAAAGTACAAAGCGACGACTTCACAGTTAATTTGTGCAAAACGTATCACCCTACCAACACCAACCCAGGTAGCGTGTTTCGGAAAGTGGATCCTGAATGTGGGAGACGAAGCACAGAGCTGGCCCTGAGGCGCCTCCAGACACCTCCCCAACACTAAACGGCAAGGAGGGAGCAGACCCGGCGGAGCCAGCTTCACACCTCGTCCGCCGCCCGAGGGTCAATGCGGGCCGAGGCGGGAGAGGCGTGGACGCCGGGGGTCAGGGGTGACAGGGGCGAGCTGCGGGCGGGCGGAGCGGCTCTGAGAGGCCGCGGCGCCAGGACAAGCCGAGGGTTCCGCGGAGACCAGGGCGTGCGGGCGCGACGGGCGGAGCCCGCGCTGCCCCGGCACCGCCCCGCACCCCGCAGCCCCCGCACCCGGCGAGCGGGCGGGGCCGCTGGGCCGCCTCAGCCCTTGGCGCCGGCACGCGCCCCCTCAGCGTCCAGTCGCGGGCGGTGAGGAGCGCGGGCCTCGCCCAGTCAGGCGGGCGGCCGACCGGAGCCCCGAGGAGGGGCGCGCCGCCGCGGGCGCGGGACGCCGCGGAGACCCCGCCGCAGGGAGCGGGAGGAGGCGGCGGCGGCTGAGGGCGGGGACGGAGCCCCGGGCGCCCCTCGGCGGGCGCGGAGCGTGACCCCGGCTCTCGGCCGGCCTCCCCCGTTCCCCCCCGGCAACCTCCCCGCGTTGCCCTGGGCAACAGCGCCAGCCGCGGGCGGCACGGAACTCACCTACCTAGAACCTGACAAGCGGGAGCCCCTCGGACGCGGGAGCCCGTAGCCACCCCGCGTCACGGGGGCCGCCCCAGCCAATGGGGGCCACCATCACGGGCCCTCGCGGCCAATCCGGAGGCGCTCCGGTCTCCGGGCGCCCGCGAGCTGCCGGCCAATGGGCGCCGGCCGGGGGCGGGCGCTGCCGCCCGACCCCGGCCCTCCCCCACCAGCTCCCGGGGGGCGGGGCGCGGCCCGGGATCCAGGCCCGCCGGGCGGGCGGTGGCCGGCGGCCGGCGTCGTCACAGGAAGCTTGGGGAGGCTCGCCCGCCTGCGGCCGGGAAGCGGCCGGGCCGGGGGCGATAAGCCGGGGCCGCCTGGAAGGGCCTGCCGGACGGCTCGGCGGCCGGGAGGGGTTTCGGGGCGTGACTAAAACGCTAACGGCGCCCGCGGGCGACGCCGGGGGCTGAAGGCTACTTTGGGGCGCGGACCCTGCACCCGGAGTGCGCGCGCGTCGCTCCTTCTCTTCGTGTATCTTACATGCAGCTGTTGTAGCCTTCATTCTCTTCAACTAGCTTTCGGCAGGAATTGCCATAAAGACTGGAGCTCCTTCTCATTCCTGTAATTCCCAGTACCTGAGACCCTCTTTTTAAAAAAGGCAAGACACGAGGTGCTATAGTTGTGAACAGTTCGTTCAGTCAGTTCAGTTCCGTTCAGTCGCTCAGTCGAGTCCAACTCTTTGCGACCCCATGGACTGCAGCACGCCAGGCCGCCCTGTCCATCACCAACTCCGGGAGTTTACTCAAGCTCACGTCCATCTAGTGGGTGATACCATTCAACCATCTCACCCTCTGTCGTCCCCTTTTCCTGCCCTCAATCTTTCCCAGCATCAGGGTCTTTTCAAATGAGTCAGCTCTTAGCACCAGGTGACTAAAGTATTGGAGTTTCAGCTTCAGCAGCAGTCCTTCCAATGAACACTCAGGAATCATTTCCTTTAGGATGAACAGGTTGGATCTCCTTGCAGTCCAAGGGACTCTCAAGAGTCTTCTCCAACACCACAGTTCAAAAGCATCAATTCCTCGGTGCTCAGCTTTCTTGATAGTCCAACTCTCACATCCATACATGACCACTGGAAAAACCATAGCCTTGACTAGACGGACCTTTGTTGGCAAAGTAATGTCTCTGCTTTTTAATATGCTATCTAGGTTGGTCATAGCTGTTCTTCCAAGGAGCAAGCATCTTTTAATTTCATGGCTGCAAGCACCATCTGCAGTGATTTTGGAGCCCTAAAAAATGGAAGTCTGACACTGTTTCCACTGTTTCCCCATCTATTTGCTATGCATTGACGGGACCAGATGCCATGATCTTAGTTTTCTGAATGTAGAGCTTTAAGCCAACTTTTTCACTCTCCTCTCTCACCTTCATCAAGAAGCTGTTTAGTTCTTCTTCACTTTCTGCCATAAAGTGTGGTGTCATCTGCATATCTGAGGTTCTTGATATTTCTCCTATCTTGATTCCAATTTGTGCTTCATCCAGCCCAGAATTTCACATGATATACTCCTCATATAAGTTAAATAAGCAGGGTGACAATATACAGCATTGACGTACTCCTTTCCCGATTTGGAGCCAGTCTGCTGTTCCACGTCCAGTTCTAACTGCTGCTTCTTGACCTGCATGCAGGTTTCTCAGGAGGCAGGTGAGGGGGTCTGGTATTCCCATCTCTTGAAGAATTTTCCACAGTTTGTTGTGATCCGCACATTCAAAGGCTTTAGCATCGCCAATAAAGCAGAAGGAGATGTTTTTCTGGAACTCTCTTGCTTTTTGTATAATCCAGTGGATGTTGGCAATTTCATCTCTGGTTCCTCTGCCTTTTCTAAAACCAGCTTCAACATCTGAAATTGCACCGTTCATGTGCTGTTGAGGCCTGGCCTGGAGAAATTACTTTACTAGTGTGTGAGATGAGTGCAATTGTGCGGTAGTTTGAGCAGTCTTTGGCATTGCGTTTCCTTGGGATTGGAATGAAAACTGAGTTTTCCAGTCCTGTGGCCACAGCTGAGTTTTCCAAATTTGCTGGCATATTGAATGCAGCACTTTCACAGCATCATCTTTTAGGATTTGAAATAACTCAACTGGAATTCCATCACCTCCACTAGCTTTGTTCGTAGGGTTACTTCGTAAAACCCACTTGACTTAGCATTCCAGGATGTCTGGCGTGAGTGATCACACCATCGTGATTATCTGAGTCGTAAAGACCTTTTTTGTACAGTTCTTCTGTGTATTCTTGTCACCTCGTCTTAATCTCTTCTGCTTCTGTTAGGTTCATACCATTTCTGGCCTTTATTGAGCCCATCTTTGCATGAAATGTTCCCTTGGTATCTCTAATTTTCTTGAAGAGATCTCTAGTCTTCCCCATTGTTTTTTTTTTCCCCTCTATTTCTTTGCATTGATCGCTGAGGAAGGCTTTCTTATCTTTCCTTGCTATTTTTTGGAACTCTTCATTCAGATGGGTATATCTTTCCTTTTCTCCTTTGCCTTTTGCTTCTCTTCTTTTTACAGCTATTTGTAAGGCCCCCTTAGACAACCATTTTGCCTTTTTGCATTTCTTTTTCTTGGGGATGGTCTTGATCCCTGTCTCCTGTCATGAACAATGTCATGAACCTCCATCCATAGTTCATCAGGCAGTCTGTCTATCAGATCTAGTCCTTTAAGTCTATTTCTCACTCCCATTATATAATCATAAGGGATTTGATCTAGGTAATGCCTGAATGGTCTCGTGGTTTTCCCTACTTTTCTCAATTTAAGCCTGAATTTGGCAATAAGGAGTTCATGATCTGAGCCACAGTCAGCTCCCTGTCTTGTTTTGGCTGACTGTATAGAGCTTCTCCATCTTTGGCTGCAAAGAATATAATCAGTCTGATTTCGGTATTGATCATCTGGTGATGTCCCTGTATACAGTCTTCTATTGTATTGTTGGAAGAGGGTGTTTGCTATGACCAGTGTGTTCTCTTGACAAAACTCTATTAGCCTTTGCCCTACTTCATTCTGTACTCCAAGGCCAAATTTGCCTGTTACTCCAGGTATTTCTTGACTTCCTACTTTTGCATTCCAGTCCCCTGTAATGAAAAGGACATCTTTTGGGGTGTTAGATCTAGAAGGTCTTCATAGAACCGTTCACCTTCAGCTTCTTCAGCATACTTGTCAGGGCATAGACTTGGATTACTGTGCTATCGAATGTGATGGATACTGTTAAAAAGCGTACATCAGTTCTGTGAGTAGTTTCGTGTTGTCAGTTCTCACCTCTTCCGGAGTCTGGAATGAGGGAAGAACTGAAGCTGGTTTGCTCCGCCTCTGAGGTGCCCTCCCCCAAAAGAACTTAGTGGAAAGTTAGTAATTGGAGCTGAACAAAGACACCTGGGTGATCTGTAACTGTTTGACAGGTGTTATTAGTCACTGTTCCGAGGTGTGTTTCTATAACTGACTCTTTAAGGCATTGTATAGTACACTGCATTGGCTGAACCACACTATTTTTCTGGAGCAAATTTTAAGGTCAACCCAAACTCCACCTCCCCCTCCAAAATTTGTGTATTACATGGGAACCAGAGAACAGTGAATAATTAATTCATAGTTGATCACTTCTAAATAGTTCCTAATTTTACTGTAATGAACAGTCCTATACATAGAAAAACAAATTTTAGACTTTATATGTGTACTCTGTTAAGAAACCAAAATGTGCTGTGAAGACCAAAAAAATTTTTTCTATTGTCTTTTGGGGGTTTTGTTTATTTGTATTTTTTTTAAGACTAAAAGAGCTTTTATTTTATTCTTAAAGTATTCTATATTTGAGAAAGGTTAAGCAAAATTACAAAGGTTAGACATAACCAATTAGAATCAAAATGTAAAGACAGAAACTTTTTAAAAGTTGCTTAATTCACCCTACTGAAGCTAGAAGGTATTTCCCTTTCTTAGAGTATTTGCCTTAAAAAATTGGTAATTGTTGTATGCTTTTTCATCACTTTGAAATGTATACAAATTATTTTGAAGACTGGATAGGTCTTAGTCATCTTGTTTTGTTAGCTTTATATCCCAGAAATGTCTTTCTTAAGGACCTGGGAACTCTCTCTTTGAAATGCAAATATCAAGAAAAGTAGTGCCCATGAATGGGTAAAGATGTTGTGGTATACATACATATACAGGATAGAATATTATTCAGCCTAAAAAAATGAAATCTTGCCATTTCAACAACATGGATAGACCTTGAGGACATTATGCTTAGTGAAATAAGTCAGACAGAAAAGTACAAATGCCATGTAATCATCCTTATATGCAGAGTTAAAAAGTAAAATAACTCATAGATCACAGATACAGAAAACAGAATGGGTGGTTGGCAGAGGCAAAGGGTGAGGGGTGGGTGAAATGTGTGAAACTGGTCAAAAGGTACAAACTTTCAGATATAAAATGAATAATGGGGATGTGATAGACATTTGATGACTGCAGTTAATAATACTGTGTTGTATATTTGAAAGTTGCTAAAAAAGTAGATCTTAAAAAGTTCTCTTCATAAGAAAAAAAAATGTGTAACTAATACATAATGGATGTTAACTACATTTATTGTGGTGATCACTTAAAAATATATACAAACAAGGAATTATATTGTACATCTCAAGCTAGTGTAATAGTATATGTCAGTTATACCTCAATTGAACAGATGGGAGAGAGAGAGCTAAGTCACCTCTCTCCCAGTTTCTGTGGGATGATAGGAGCCAAAATTCTTGGGCAAATTTTCCCAAATTGCAAAACTACCTTCTGTCATAAAAATGAAACATTTGTTTTTCCTGTGGATAATACTTATTAGCTAACACTGATGGTCATCCCAATTATGAAATAAAGGTAAGATGAATTATATGTGCCTTGTTATCAAGGCCTATTACTTGATGGCTAGTTATTGTTTAACTTGAAAACATAAGTAATAGGTTGTGTCTGCTGGGCTATGTAAAAGGATGACTGCTGTCTTTGCAGTCTCTTTGTGGATTGCCTGCATTGCCCATCACATTCTGGTCTAATGCTTACTCAATAAGAAAAGTGTTTTATTTCTCCACTACCTTTGTGGAGAGAATTTCTGGGTCAGGAGAACATTTTGTTTTTAATTATATTCTCCCCAAAATACCTATGCCCAAAATATTGAGACTATAAGTTAATTAGTTTCTAGTTTTTTATTTGTTCTTGAAAATGATGTCACATTGGGTAATAACATCACCAAAACTAAAAATACATTTTAATACAGTCAAAAATAATAAAATTAATGTTTGGTGTGTATTTTGTAATGACTGTTCACTGCACAAACTAAAGATAGGTGAATAAGTCTCTTAGAATAGAAATTTTTCTGTGAATATTAAATTCTGTGGTATGTGTCAAATCAATATGAAAGAAATAGATTAATGTTTATGCATGAAATGGTTAGACAAAGGCAAAATACAACTTTGGGAATTGCTTCACCAAGGCACATCTTCTCCAAGAAACTTAGAATGCCTCTATCCTTTTATAGAGAAAATTCTAAACCTGGAA